GTGAGGTGCTTTCGTGATATTTAATGGATCGGATTACATTTTTTATTTTTCTCCGATATCCGATCCAGTAATTTAGGTCAGTATCGGACCGATACCGATACGTAATATCGGATCGGTCCATCTCTAGTTGGAATACACGACGTTTGTCCACAGTGACACTGTTGACACAGAAGTTGATGTATGAGAGCACTGATGTGGGCTCTCGAGGTCCAGGTGTTCAAACACAGTCCAGTCTGTGTTTTCAAAGCAGTCCTGCAGCTGATGTGATGCATCTTCTGGACAGGTTTTCACAGTCAGTGTATGCAGGGATCAGCAGCATGGACATGTGGTCTATGTTGGGATTTGTCACTGTATAAATAAAATTGAATTGAGCTGAATAGCGTTCGTTTGGATGTCTCACTATGGGAAATGGAGACTCCATTAATGCCAGACAAGCTTATCTCAAGCAATCACTGCAATAGCCAGCAGCTCACCTATCCACGCGAGGACCCAGTGCCAGCACTGCTTGAGCTACACCTGAAGTGGAGACGTCCAGCCTGTAAAACCAGACGAAGGTGAGAGGTGAAGACCAGCTCACTGCTGCACAGATGTCCTGGATTGACACCCCTCTGAAAAGGGCTCAGGACACTGTTATATAGCAAGTTAAGATATGCTTCAAAGTATATGAGGAGTACGCAGGGAGACACATCACATAGTGAGACGTGGAAACGAATGCTAAGAACTTTGGCCTGATGCAGTTTCCAAAGGCCAGCTTTGAATCGTCTGTAACGTCTGCGTCTCTTTTTTGCACAGATTGCAAAAGATGCCAAAGAGTGTGTGCAGGAGTGCGTGAGCGAGTTTATCAGCTTTATCACATCTGAGGCGAGTGAGCGTTGTCACCAGGAAAAGAGGAAGACCATCAATGGGGAGGACATCCTGTTTGCCATGTCCACGCTGGGCTTTGACATGTATGTGGATCCACTGAAGCTCTACCTGCAGAAGTTCAGAGAGGTGAGGCGCAGCTTCCCATTTATTTGGATATTTAAGTTGTTTCTGTGATTGCTCACTGCTCAAGTTTTGTGTTTCATTGTTAATACTGCTGTTTGATGGATCCAAACTCCTCAAATAACTCGAGAGCTATGAATGCAAGTAGCTTTGATGATCACATAGAGTTTTAGAACATGATACCGTTATTATGCCCTTTTTATCTACCTGTGTGATTCACAACAGTCCAATTTATCAGGACCATAAGGCAGCTGTGTTCACAGGTGTCACCAGTACAGTCTAGGGCTGCCACAAACGATTATTTTGATAGTCGACTAGTCACCGATTATTTATGCGATTAGTCGACTAATCAGATCATCATCCACTGGATGTAAAACTACAGCTTATTGCACCAGCAGCATCTGCTCTTATATAACTATCATTAACTTACAGCTTTAAGCTTTTAAGGTGCTAACTAAAATAAAGACAAGATGATAGTTTATTCAATTTTAATGAAATTTGCAGATTGTTTCGGTAAAGTTTAATAAACTCCTTGCTATCTAAAATATAACAGGACACCGGAGTAAATTCTCCAGCATCTCACACTTCTGATAATCAGCTGTCTGCTTGATGTTTATTCAAACTATAACTTTAATCTCAGCCAAACCGATTTACTCAGGAACAAATAAAATACTGAAAAAAAAAAGCCAAACAATAACATGTTTAAGTTATCTAAGTGACTCATATATATTTAATCTGAGTAGCGAAAGACGGCGGTGGGTTTGAAAACAATTTGCCGGGAGTCCGGTGTTCTCACGGCGCTAGTGACCTAGCCCCCGGCTAGCTATCGAGCTAGTGGGTAACAGACGTCTCCGAAAACGTCGGAGCGCTTTTGAAAATATGTCGGTGTCCTGATAAACTGAGCAGATATTTGAGGTTTACACAGCTACATTCTCGCCTGAAAATATGTTAAACGTTTATTTTGTGACCCAGAAAGAATAATAAGAGTAATATTAAAACTAACTAGCTACCGCCATTGTTGGAAACTAGCTGGGCCGCGCTATGAATTCTGGGACACAGCTGCTTCTTCTTCTTCTTCTCCGGGGTTTAACGGCAGCTGGCATCCTTGTACATGCAGTGCTGCCATCTTCTGTTTCAGTCCGTTATTACACTCTTAAATCCTGCTACTTATTCCTGCGTCTTTTGGGATCTTACAAAGCTTCAAACGACGGTCGACTATTAAATCTAGTCGTCGATCGGATATTTGATAGTCGATAATCGTGGCAGCCCTGACTGCAGAGTGATCTCTCTCTCTTAATATGCATCTGTCTATCATTCATCGTTATTCATCCTTCACATAATCTGCATCACAGTTCAGCTTAAAACACTTACAGTTTGCACAGCCATACTTGGATTCCTACATACACAAGTTACTGAAGTGGTGCTATATGGGAGGGATGGCGATAGATTGCTGTTACAGCAACTCGCGAAAAAATAGATTATCCTCGAGGTGTACGCTTCGGAATCTTCATCAGGGAACTCCATAAACTAACCCAACAAACTTATTTTGTTTTCCAGAAAGCAACATTAAGATGCTAGTACCCAGTAATGACTTGTGAATTGACAGCCGCTGGTCATTTCTGGAATGTGTGTGCTGATTAAAGCGTTTTCTCATGTAAGCTTATAGATGAGATATTATTTAGAAATTGGTAATTAAATCATGTTGTAGTTTCTTCTGGGTTCAATTCAATTCAATTTTATTTATATAGCGCCAAATCACAACAAAAGTCGCCTCAAGGCGCTTCATAGATACAGAGAAAAACCCAACAATCATATGACCCCCTATGAGCAAGCACTTTGGCGACAGTGGGAAGGAAAAACTCCCTTCTTGCCATGTTAATTAGTTAATGTCGTTACTTGTAATGACTGTTAAATACAGCGGTCCTGCTCGCTGATGATCAGATAATCAAACACACGAGTTTGGCAGCACCTGGCTGCTTCTACTCTTGTAAATGCTGCACGTGTAATTGGTGTTTCGTAGCACTGCACAGAATAACGTGAAAATGTTTTCTGCTGTCTTCCAGGCAATGAAGGGGGAGAAAGGAATGGCAGGTGTGACTGTGGGAGAAGGCCTTAGTGAGGACCTCTCAGAGGACAGCTTCAGTAAGTGAAGCACAAGCAGCGTCCCCCCATTAATGAACAGTCCTAATCAATTCCACTTCTTTTCTCATCAGCAAATCCACTGCCAGCTGGGATTATCACAGCAGATGGTCAGCAGCAGAACGTTATGGTGTACACCACATCATATCAACAGGTAAAAGCACATAAGTGCTGTGCTGTGCCTTTATCTTGCTACTAAGAGGAAACACATCAGTCATGTAGTTGGATTGTTTTATCCTAATTTTGGAAAACTCTTTGCAGTCAGCTCGACAGAAAATTGTGTAATAAAAGCAGAAGCTAAACCTGATGACAGGTTTCTTTGGCTAACTCTGCACAGATGTGCCTGAATACGTTTAACATTTCTGTGTGGACACAGCCGAGTACTCGTTATAGTTTGTATATTGTCTCGTGGTCTATGATTCGTATTCTTTATCTTGTGAATGTTTTTCGTGAAAAGTGGAATTTTGTTGGTGATGCTCGCTTCTCTTTGTTCCAGATTCCCACTGTACAGCAGATCCAGTTTTCATGACGAGGCTCCATCACTCCCAGCCTGAACGCCGCGGCTCCGTGCACACTCTCCGATCACCGATGACATCTGGCCCGGCCGACGGGTGAAGGTTATCAGAGAAAGAGCAGGGGGTGTTGCAGAATCCCTCATGTACAGAGAAGCCACTGCCTGTTTAGTAGAAAGTGTAGTTTCTAGTTGCAGTGTTCCAGATGTTTTCCAGAGCAGCTGGGAAATTCAAGGCTTTATTTTAAAGGCTAGTCTTCGTACATGATTTAGTGATGAATTCCTGTTTGTGCTTTCGTGTTAATGTGTTTGCTTTTATGCCTTTTTTTCCTTCCTCTTCTCTGGGGTAGGGCTGGGATGGACGGGGTTATAAAGGGAAATGCTGCATTGGATGCTTTTTTTTTTCATGTCTTCTCTGTTTGAATCAAGAGGAGCCGTGTCGTTACTGTCTTACTAGATTATGCAGCTCTTTTGTAAGTTGACAGTTTACCATGTGCTTTAATGTCATAAAAATCCTTTGAATAAAATTTGAAAAGCGATGTTTCACACTGAATTTTATTTCATCACATGAAGCACCTGCAGTTTGCACTTTTAGGCACAAACTCCAGAGCCTAACAGGCAGCTGGCAGCTATGTGGGCAGCAGTGAAGGTACATCTGACTGCCTGCTGCAACAGGCAGGTTAGGATCCAACATGCAGGACTCGCTCCTCTTCCGCAGGGATAACTAGATGCTGAAGTATTGCAAACATAACTTATTAACATGTACACTTGTTTAAAGGAGAAAAACACCACCGGCCCACTTTGACTGGTGCTGAAATTATTCATAAATGATATGTTTTTGCTTGTTCGTATGTAATAATGCCTGGTTTTTGATACGCCATTAGGACTGCCTTTCATGTCTTATGTTTAGGATCACACCGGTTTAATGGTTGAAGGCCCGCAGTGACGTGGAATAATAACTCCCCTCAAAAGTGTTGAACCGTAAATGTAACGAGTCTTTTATTGGTTATGAAGGCGTCATTTGTAATGTTTGATTTTCCAAACACATTGATGCTTTTTGCACAAAGTGTCAGCTCAGCCTGAATTTTACTTGGTTACTCACCTGTATCGCACATTACTGTTGTTAATGTTAGCCTCTGTAACAAAATGTCCATAGATGATGGAGCTCCCCTACGGCCAGTCATACTGCACCACAGTAATTAGGGAATAGATAATTAAATAGAAAAGTTCCTGTTTTTTGGATGGGTGGGCTTACAGTCTACTATATACATTTTTGGTGTTGATTTGTTCATCTTAGTCTCATCTCAGTGTTTTGTTATTCCTTCGGTCTCCATGGCCACGTACCGGTTTCTGTCTCCTCTCTGTGTTTCCCCCGGTCCCAGTGCCAAACCCACACGTCTTAGTCTGAGTCTCAGTGTGTGTTACTTCCTGCTTTATTTTGATAGTCTCCTGTCATGTATGTTATGTTCAGTTTTGTGTGTGTCCTCATCTCCTGCTGTGTATACATTGTCTGCGCCTCCCGGCTCTGTGTTACGTCCCCTCTAGCTGTGTGTTCTCCATAGTTCCTAGTTTGAATATATAAACATAATGATGTATCAATTGCAGAATACCCATATGAGGTCCTGTGTGATATACATGCACACACCTCTAACTAACCAGCCTCTCTGAGGCTGATTTAAGGCTCATGTTATTATTGGGCGATAACATGTCAAAATGTTCCCTGACAGCTGATATTTTTTGGGGGTGGCTTCCTAATGTGCTCATGGTGATCCTCAGAACCTCAGATCCAGTTCAAAATTTGAATTCCCGCGTTTTTTCAACAGCTTGAGTAACATAACGAGGCAGTTATGTCATTTATCTGTGGCCATGTGATATTCTTAAACCGATAAGGGTCTCGACACAGGATTCGTTTGGGCACGCCCCCTTTCCTGGGCACAGGCCTTTGGGCATCACTACTGCATCTCTCATCTCCCAGTCCTGCATCTGGGTCCTACGCTGCTTGGCACACAGCTGGACTTGATGTAAATTTGTTTTTCACAATGGTTACAGTTAAAAAAACAGGGCATTTTCTTTGAATTAACAAACCTTTTTTCTGTAATTTAACATATTTATTTTTTACAGTTTAAATCATGCTGACACATTTGTTTTCATTTACAACAGCAAATACTGTTGAATTTCACCAGACTCACATCCGGTAAAAATGGGCTGTATTTGGTAAATGACTCTGACATCCCCGCTGTAAGGTAATCATTTTACTTTAAGTCATCTTAGCTAAAGTAAATATGGATGTCCTCCAGTGCTGTCCCTCAGCCTCCTTGTAGAAACACCCATGGTATCGAGTTCACAAGATGCTCAGTAAACCTGACCTCTGACCTTCAGGTTGAGGTCACTCCGATTCGTCTGAGGTTTTTAGTAGATGCACCTATGGTGGAGATCCAAATCCCAGATCTAACTGCAGTATTTCATCCATAAGTTTTACAAACTCTACAAGCTTATAAAGCTTCTTAAATAGCAAGACCCCAGTAGATAATGTTTTGAAAATATGTCTGTTAAAAAGTGAAACTGTGGCATATAAGTACTGATGCTCTATATTAATGCTCATAACATACTCTGTCACTAAATCATCCAGATCTTTGTTGAGATAAACGCAGAGCTCCCTGATTACACATGAAGCTCATCCAAATTATACAAGTATTTTTACCTGGCCCATGTGTTTCACTCTGCAGTCTTCTTCCTGTCCTATAATCTTGGCTTTTTAAACAGCTGTATGAGTTTGGCAGATAGCACATCTGTCTTTGAGAGAAATCTGGGCAGCAGTGGCACCGTGGTAATACGCTTTAACTTTGCATTCATCTGAAAAGAGAAGTTATAACAAAAAATACTCTGAGAAACTCTAATTTGACCAGCGCACATTCACATAATCCTTTACGGTTTCTTAGCTGAGCCAAAAAGAGCTCAAACATGCACCAAAGTGGTCATTAAACATCTTCACCTCCTCGATGACGCTATGAAATTCTCCCTGTTGCTGTCTTGTGAGAATTCAATTCATTTGGCACAACTAGCTGTAGTGAGGGGTAAGCCCACCCAGATAAACCCAGAATCTCAGTTTCATCCTTGTCTTCTTAATAACATCAGGACCAGCTGATTGTTGCCTGACTTCATGTTTTTCACAGTTCTTTATTATGAGAACAATTTTTTAAAAGAAAAATCTCATCTCATCAAGTTTTCTGTGTGTGTATGAGTTATAAAACATTTATAGATCCAAAAATGAGGAATTGCATGTCATGTGTATCTTTTACTTGCAGCACTCTCAGTGTGTAGGCCTTTAGGGAATTTCTGTTTTGAAATTTTTGCTACTTTCAGCTTCCTTTTAAACCACACATCATTAGTGCAGGGCAGCTCTGCCTGTGAAACAACAGGCATTAAATGCTCATTAGCTATTTGAAAATCGTTAGCCACTGAGAATACACTAATTTATTCACCTTTGACACTAATGAGACCATAGTACAGGGTGGGCTATTTATATGGATACACCGTAACAACATGGGAATGGTTGGTGATATTAAAGTCCTGTTTGTGGCACATTAGTATATGTGAGGGGGCAAACTCCTCAAGATGGGTGGTGACCATGGTGGCCATTTAGAAGTCGGCCATCTTGGATACAACTTTTGTTTTTTCAATAGGAAGAGGGCCATGTGACACATCAAACTTATTGGTAATGTCACAAGAAAAACAATGGTGTGCTTGGTTTCAACGTAACTTTATTCTTTCATGAGTTATTTACAAGTTTCTCTTTGTTCACAGCCATTGACATGTCGAAGAGGTTAACACGTGAGGAGCGGATCGAAATTGTGTTGATATCTGGTGAACGCAGTAACCGGGTCATTGCAGCAGATTTCAATGCAAGACACCCTACGAGACCACCCATCTCCCATGCTACAGTTAGCAAACTGCTTGCTAAGTTTCGTGAAACTGGTTCAGTGTTGGATTTGCCAAAATGTGGACGCAAGAAAACTGTCACTAATGAAGAAACATCAGTGGCTGTCCTAGCTTCATTCAGCAAGAGCCCACAGCGTAGCACTCGCCGCATGTCACTGGAGAGTGGCATTAGTCGAACATCCCTTCGGCGGATATTAGCTACTCACAAATGGCACCCTTACAAACTCCAGCTACTGCAGCATCTCAGCGAGGATGACCCAGATCGGCGCACAGAATTTGCAGAATGGGCAAAACAAAAATTGGAACAGGACCCTCAGTTCACGCAGAAGATTTTGTTCAGTGATGAGGCAAACTTTTATGTGAATGGTGAAGTTAACAAACAAAACCACCGCTATTGGTCTGACACTAACCCACATTGGATGGATCCCTCCAAGACTGTTGGAACAACAAAAGTGATGGTTTGGTGTGGTATATGGGGTACAACGATAGTGGGTCCATTCTTCATCAATGGAAACCTCAAGGCCACTGGATATTTGAAATTGCTACATGATGATGTGTTTCCCTCTTTATGCACTGAAGCTGGCACGTTCCCTGAGTTTTTCCAGCCCATTCTGCAAATTCTGTGCAACGTAACTTTATTCTAACTCATGGAAGAATAAAGTTACGTTGAAACCAAGCACACCATTGTGTTTCTTGTGACATTACCAATACGTTTGATGTGTCACATGGCCCTCTTCCTATTGAAAAAACAAAAGTTGTATCCAAGATGGCCGACTTCTAAATGGCCACCATGGTCACCACCCATCTTGAGGAGTTTGCCCCCTCACATATACTAATGTGCCACAAACAGGACTTTAATATCACCAACCATTCCCATGTTATTACGGTGTATCCATATAAATGGCCCACCCTGTACAAACAAACCATGAGGAAAGTGTGACAGTCTGACACTTTTGTCTGTGACGTCTAAATCTACCAAAGTCTTTGATATACAGTTTGTGCTCATTACAAATTTCAGGTGCAACAAGAGGAATAAAATAATAAAAATAATAATAATGAAAAATAAAAGGAATAAAATCGTCCACAAGTTAAAAATAAATATTTTTACAACTCACTATGACCAGTCAGTTTTCACAAAGGCAGTAGAACATAGTCAATATTTAACACAATGATCTACCAAAAACAACTGTAAACTACTTATTTCAGCAAATAAGAGCATCCATGCACCACCCAGACTTGAGACAGAGCTATCAATCTGTCGATCCTTTTTGTGTCTGGGCTGGGAGCGGTTTCCTGTGTTGAGTCAAATTAAGCTGCAGGCCCTGCGACAGACTGGCGACTAGTTCAGGGTGCACCCCGCCTCCTGGCCTTGGGTTCCAACCCCCCTGCGGCCTTGAATACATACCTCACAATACATACCTTACTGGAAGCCTTCAGTGTGACACATACTACAACATATCTTCTATATGCATTTTTATTTTTATTTGAAAACTCACCACTGAAAGTAGCTCCACTCTCACAGTCTCAAGGCTCTTTTCAGGGGGCAGGGGGCACTGTGTTCTTTTAATGGCTAAAGTAGCACCTGCTAGGTTTCTTAAAT